GGGGGGGGGGGGGGGGGGGGGGGGGGGGGGGGGGGGGGGGGGGGGGGGGGGGGGGGGGGGGGGGGGGGGGGGAGCGACAAAGATATATCGTTCAAGTTTGCGTGTTTCCGGCAAGCTGTGCATACGGATACACATTGACCAACCTGATTATCTAGAGCTAGCATGTGTTCGTTTGATATGGCGGACCTCCTTCCTGGCCCACCGGTCATCATCTCTTAAATGTGTGTTCGAGAGGACGATCGAGAGGGAAGAGATGTTAGCAGAAAAAATCCCGACGACAATCTGCTCAGCAACCAAAAAGGCTGCCACAGACGACTTATTCCTGCGCCATCACTGCTAGTTGTACAATACCACCCGCTCCTTTCAGGGCTTCTCCCAAACCTCCCTTCTCAAGCCCCCATCCCCAAGACGCTCTCACAAGTACATACCACAAGAGACCCTAGGCTCGCAATCAAAACAATGGAGCTCAGATCTACGGAGTCAGGCACCCTAAATCACGCACGTCGCAAATTGGGGTCCGCGGTCGGTAATTTCCCGGTACCCCTCCCCGCCACCTCCGCCGGAATGGTTCCGGTTCGGGCCAATTGCGCCGCCCGTAGCGCCGCTGGCGTCGGTTCCGGACATCGCCCTCTCCCCGGCTGCGAGCACTTCGGCCATGGCGTCAGCTATTCTACGCTGTACGTCGCTCCCTGCCGATGTAGGCGTGTTGGTGGTGTATTCTTATCAATTATTGACTCGTTGTATGTTATCATCGCGGTGTCAGCTGTTGTACGCTGTGCGTCGCTCCCTTTTAAAGTCAGCGGTGTTGGACAAAAAAAAATGTGGGGTTGTCCGCCTGTGCTCCCTGAACAACGCCAAGGATCATCATGTCTGCCGACATTTCCCTGCGAACAGGAGGTACATCGCCGCACACGACTCGAGAGTCTACCGGGCCATGCTTGCTGTCAAAGCGGCCAACAAGCTGGGAGGAGAAGGTCAAAACAGGGACGGCGGGACTGCTGTACACTGAAGCAAAAAAAAACTACTCTTCCTCGAACTTTTGCCCGAATCCTAGTAGCCCGAGCCCTCCTCGACTTACCGGGCAACACGAAACGGCCTTTGATGAAACGCCGCTCTTTTTCTCGGAACTCCGCCGATTTGCTGTGCGACTGAGGGCCGAAACAAGCGGAGGCCGGGGATCAGGAATACTCTTATTACAATGCTTTGGAAACAATGAAAGTCGGAATCAGGCCCTTCACGAGGAGACAGGCGCCAACAACTATTCAGGTTTTCGGTCGACCATTTTCTCCCTGGACTCGGTGTTCCCACCGCCGGCGCCGCCATCAGCACCACCGCACATCACACGGAAAACAACCCCTCTACTACGAGCCCGGCATGGAAGGACAATAAAGCATCACCCCGCCTTCGACGCTCTCCCTCTCTCTCTCTCGGTCCATACTCACCAGACGAGTCTTGGCGTCTCCGTCACCACCATCACTGCAGCACACCCTCGTCACACACACCAAGAGCAACCCCACCTAACGAGCCTGGGAGTAAAGAACAGTAAATAAATAAATAAAAACTATGTTTCCGTACGTACAATTCGACCATCTCTCAGTCCGTACTCACCAGAAGAGGCTCGGAATCCTCGCCGCCACCTCCGCCACAGCATACCACACACACCGGCGTGAAACAAAAAAAGTAGACATGAATCACCCGGTCCATGCCATGCATTTCTTCCCACAATTCGACGCTCTCTCGGTCCGCACTCACCAGAAGAGGCTTGGAACACTCGCTGCCACCGCCGTTACCGCCGCCGGGCCCAGACGATGACGAGGAAGAAGTCCCCAGTCTCCGCGTGGCCCTCACTCCCCCCGTATCCCCCGACCCCAAGGCCACCGCCATATCACCGACTGCGCCCCCGCCGCCGCCGCCGCCGCCGCCTCTACCAGTGCCGCCCGACGAGTGGCGAGGAATTGCTGCGGAGGCACTTCCCCCCAGGGCCTGCCCGCCGCCTCCGGCTACAGGAGCTCCGGCTGCCGTCCCAAAATGTTTTGACGGGCCAAGGGAGACACACGAGCCAAAATCATGCATACGGAGCATATATTAATAGAAGTATATGTCTATGCGAAGGAGTATATAAATATCCTCTGACAATGTACTACTTGAAGTGTACAATAAAGACAGGTTTCAAGTTTGGTCGGTGTTTGGAGAGGATAGTTCTTTTGCCGCTGCATCCAAGTGACGCGGCGCTCTGGCTACCCCGAAATATAGAAGGGCCACGTGATACAAACGATACGAACAAAAAAGACGCGGGTTCTTCTGGGTCCGTGTTGGAGAAGGCATTTTCTCTAGCCGCGACAAGCTGAGTGAGCGGTAGGGGTTTGGGCGCCGCCGGGGAGAAAAAAATGAAATCGGAGTAATGGCGGGCGCAAGAACGCCACAAAAGCATTCAGACCAGTCTGTAACGTGTGGCGTTCGGGAGAGAGAGAGGAGAGAGAACGAACGTGCGTAACAACGAAAGGCCAACACGATGCAGAAAACGACGCCGGGTAGATGTGCGATCCGATGATGCGCCATGGGAAAAAGCCTTCCTTCGAGCTTTTGGACACACCAGTCTGTTCAGGCGTGTGGGTATCCGCGGAGGAAAAAGTACGCGACGACATCCGCCCGTAATTACCAACTGCTGCTGAACCGATGCATCGACATCGCCCTACAGTACATACCCCCCCCCCCCCCCCCCCCCCCCCCCCCCCCCCCCCCCCCCCCCCCC